AGGGTCACTATGAGTCATAAGCAACTCAACGGCACATAACAACAACAATGCATTTTTAAATGCATGTTCAGTCAATTTCAGACTGCAGAGGTTGGTAGAAATCCTCTATTTCCTCATCATTGGTTTCAGTTTTGCTAAGTGTATTTAAATGATAGTTGTATTAACTGGTCTTCTTTGTATGTTGTTATTATTGAGTACTGTAGAGTCAGAACCAACCCCTAGCTGATCCTCCAGTGGGTTTTCAGAGGCAGTTAATCATATGAGAGGAGGTTGCCCATCCTGGTGGCCTCAAATCATGTGCCTTTGGGATTGCAATGCAGCTTCTTGCCACTAGGCCACCAGAGCTGTTATTCACAGCATTATACTAGATAGATTTTTTAAAATGGTCTTTTTCACTAAGGCTTAGCACATTCAATGTGCAAAGCACTGTCATTTATGTCATTTAATCTTTATAAGAGCTCTGGTGCACCACTGTAAGGCCAAAAGCAGGTCAACTGAATCCATCAGATGCTCTATGGGAGCAATGATCTTCACAAAAATCCTGCACTGTAAATGTTTATTATTGTCCCTCCTCAACACGGTTACAATAACAAAGACTGCAAAATTATAAAAATAAGAGATAGATATTTAATTCTAGAAAGTCTGATCTAAGTAGTACTCTTATTCATTGGGTTACAGAATATATATTCTCCAAACAAATGAAAGTTTCCATGCTATGGAGTCCTTAATCACATCTAGTTCCAAGACTTCTCATCTACAGCACCCAAACACTTGGAAGTTTCCTCGTTTACAACATTGAATCTATGAAGGAGATGAAACATTACAATTTACTTCTTCCTAGGTAGAGACCAACTAAACTATTCATTATGTCCTTTCTCCAAATTCTTAAGGTTACATAGAAGTAGACATGAATATGTATTTATACTTAAAATTGTAATAGTTATCAAATCACTGGATAAAGTTAGGGTTTTTTTTTAAATTTATATTAAATCATTTACCCTCCCATCATCACACTGCGAGCCATTTCGGACCATCATTGGATCTTCTTGGGTTACAGGTACTTTGAAGTCAATAGTCACACACACAGAATCTCGAACAAAAGCGTAAATTACAGCAGTATTCTCTTTATAAATGGGAATTCTAGTAGGGTAGCTACAAATTAACCTTCCACATATAAGATCCCTGCAAAAATAATAAAATAATTTCCTATTACATAGTGAAGCTATGATACATATTGATTCTAGGTATTTGTGAGGAATATTTTAGGTTTTACTTATTTAACAACAAAAAAATCATGATTCTACATTTATGGCAATACAAGTAAAGAAATATAATGTTTTAACATTTAAAGTAGGATGGAAAAGAAAATAGAAAGCCGCTGATCCAAGTATATTTTTCCATGCTATTAATAACACTTTATGATATATTTCCTGTTGTTAAATTATCCAATCAATTAAGCTATTCCTAAACAAATATTTTGTGTTGGGAGACAAAGATGAGTTAGTTGTGACTCCTACTTTCAAGGATCATACAAAGTACATTTTGATAAAAATTTCAGTGTAAGTTCTATAAATTCTGTTTAGATTTAAGATGAAGACATATTCTAACTTAAAAGTTAGGAAAAGTTCATAGAAAAGAGACAAACTAAAAAAAAAAGAAAGAAAAGAAAAGAGACCGACTGACACAAAGCCTACACACATATCTTTTGTAGGCAACATACCTTTCAACAGGTATGGTAAAGTATTTCTAAAGAAAATGAAAATATGCACACTCCAAGAAGCATAAGAAGACATGGCATTTTTATTGTTCTGTACAAATTCTTCTTCTAAATGGTATAGCACTGGTTTGTCCATTTCCTGCGCAGAGGTAATTTGTGGTTGCTGTGGTTCTCAACACTGTAATACTGATGTGTCAAATGCGATAATAATGGTTGCATATGATGGACAGTGTTTGGTGGCGCTCCCTGATTAAAACAAGCTTGGAAGCAAGAGTGGTATCCACTTCTGAAATAGCTTTGCCTCTGGAAACTATGAACTTGGAGAAGGATAAACCTTATACAACTGTTCAGGTCTTTCATTCAGGGTCACTATGAATCATCTATGACTTGATGGCACGTAACAACAACAACATAGAGAAAGCACTGTTGGCCTAGTGGATAGAAAGTTATGCTACCAAGCCAAAGATGGGTGATTTTAATCTATGGCCCTCAGACCTGGTTTTAATTGTTTTTGGTCAAACATTCTTCTAAGTGGTCTGTCCATTTGCTGTACAGAGATAGCTCATGGTTGCTGTGATGCTAAACACTGTGACACTGATGTGTCAAATGCGATAATGGTTACCCATGGTAGACAGTGTTTGGTGGAGCTCCCCAATTAAAACAAGCTTGGAAGCAGAAGTGGGATCTATTTCTGAAATAGCTTGCCTCAAGAAACTCTGTGAACTTGGATAAACTATCAAAGTTATACCAGTGTTCAAATCTTTTGTCCATAGGGTCGTTATGAGTGGTCTACAACTCAATGGCATTTAACAACAACATAAACATTCTATGGATTTGAGGTTCTTAATATTTCAAATAAATTAGTTAAACTTTTAACTAGCTGACTCTTTATACACAAAGTCAATGTACTGGGAAATCTGCTTGAGCAAGCACTGAGTGGATGGTGGTTATATAAAGAAAAATGAGCAAGTTTAGAAAAGAATAGTGAAATGGATAATATGAGTTTCCATTTTTTTATTTTGTAGGATTTTGGTAGGATTTGTATACCTAAGTATCACCCACATAAAAATTTTTAAAGATAGAAAATTTAGCCCATATCACACGAAAGACACCAAAGATGGAGATTTTTATTTGAGATTTACTACCATAGGGAGCTCTGGTGGTTTAGTGGTCAGGAGTTGTGCTGTCAAACCAAAGGCATCCATTTCAAATCCACCAGCTGCTCAACAGGAGAAAAATGGACAATCTCTTCCTGTACAATATATTGTCTCTGAAAACCCCTAGAGGATCAGCTATGCATTGGTTCCAACTAAGTAGTACATAACAAAACAATAATCATATACACACAATTGTTGAAACTACTGGAAGGCATGGCATGAACTAAAGCTAGAGAAAAACAAACTTAAAAATTGAGATAAAAATCTCTCTATGTTTGCATAACATACCTCCATGGGCAATATACATATCGCCTTTCCTTTGAACTCCAACCACAATTTCCAAATCTATCCTGTTGAGGTTGTATTTCTTCATAACAGTGAAATGGTGCATTTTTGGAACCTGTAAAAATAAAAAAAAAAAACATTTGGATCAAAACACTTCTTTTTATTTGTCTATGCATTCACACAAAACGGGATTTGAGACCACCCTCAAATCTTAACCTGATAATACTCATTCTCCTAAAATTCCATTGGCTTCATTAACAATCTGGCTTTTGAGCCAGGACATTCATCACCAAGCCTATGTCAAATAAAAACCACCACTAAACCAGATCTGGAAGAGGCCTATCCTGACCTTGTAAATTACCACACTGTGACAGTGGAGTAAGCAGAGATACTAAGTCTCAAAACTTAGCAGAAGCTCAGTGGCAAGGACCTTTCCTCAGTGCTGCCTCAGACAAACTCTTTCCCTGAAGCTGGTACATGGAATTTGGACTTATCATCCTCCTAAACGCAAAATAGTTAACAGTGTGAGAGACCAGTACCAGTGCAAGAAAGACATCACAGAAGTGACTTGTGGACTAAGTTGTCATATCAAGGGGTGGCTGGGGAAGGGTGGGTTTGACCAGGTAGCTGAGAGTGTAAGGAATGGTGATGTAGCAGGGAAAGGGAAGAGACAAGACACACATGGGGGTGGGGGGCAGGGGGCAGTGAATGTATTGGTTATTTCTGTAAGGGAAGTGTCTTTCATCTATTCAGTAAAATGCTTGTCTGTGAGATATTGTTCTAAAATTAAGCATCCAAATTAAGACAGACTAGGAAGAAAGATTGGTCATCCACTCTAAAGTATAACCAGCCTTCAAAAGCCCTATGTACAGTAAAGCACTCTTAAAGTAGGCTAACAGAAGCTGAGCACTCAAATTTGAAAATACAAAGGAGGAGGAACAGTTGTAAGCAGAAACTAATCACTGGAATCTGGAATGTGAGAATCATGAATGTAGGAAAACCAGACATTGTTAAGAAAGAAATAGAATGCATAAATATTGGCATATTAGATATTAGCGAAATGAGCTGGATTAACATGGGACATTTTTAATCAGATGATCATACGATCTACTACACTGGAGATGAAAAAAAATGGGGTCACTTTCATAGTTAAAAAGGTCAATTCTAGATCCATCTTGAAATACAATGTTGTGAGTGACAGTATAATATCCACACATATACAAGTAAGACCTGTTAATACTACTATAATTCAAATTTATGCACCAACAACCAGAGCCAAAGAGTAGGAAATAGATTATTTCTACCAACTGTTGCAGTCAGAAATCACGTGAACATGTAACCAAGAGCATTAATAATAATGGGTGACTGTAATACGAAAGTTGGGAACCAGGGAGAAGGATCAGTAGTTGGAAAACATGGACTTGGTGACAGAGATGAGGCTGGAGATAGAATGATAGAATTTTGCACAATGACTGTAAACAGCAAATATGTTTATAAAAAACATAAACACAAACTCAAGCTATACACATGGATTTCCTTTGATGCACAAAAATAATACTGATTACATCTGTGGAAGGAATCATTAGAGAAGTTCAAGATCAGCAGTGAAAACTAGGCCAGGTGCTGACTGTGGAACAGACAACCAACTACACATAAGCAAGTTCAAATGCAAGCTAAAGAAGGTTAAATAATATTCACAGGAATAAAAATTTGAACTTGAGTCTATTTTCCCTGAATTTAAAAACCAACTCAGGAACAGATTTGAAGCCTTGAACACTAATGAGCAAAGACCAGATTAAGAATATTGTCATGGCACCAAAACAAGATAAAAGTAAATAACCCAATTGAAAAATGGGCACAGGATGTGAACAGACACTTTACCAAAGAAGACATTCAGATGGCTGACAAGCACATGAAAAATTGTCCAAAATCCCTAGCTCTAAAAGAGATGCAAACCAAAACAACTATGAGATATCATCTCACACCAGTAAGAACAGCAAAATTTAACAGAACAGCAAACACGAAATGTGGACAAGGTTGCGAAGAAGGTGGGAGTGTAAAAGGGTGCAACCACTATGGAAGGCTGTATGATGCTTTCTCAAAAAGTTGCAAATAGAAATACCATTTGACCCAGCAATTCCACTACTGGGAATATACCCTAAAGAAACCATAGCGACCACCCAAGCAGATATATGTACACCCATGTTTACTGAAGCGTTGTTCACAATAGCAAAGAGCTGGAAACAACCCAAGTGCCCATCAAAAGATGAATGGATAGAGAAGCTCTGGTATAATCACACAATGGAATACTATGCAGCATTGAAAAACAAAGAACTCATGCAATATTATGCAAAATGGATGACCCTGGAGGACATTATGTTGAGTGATGTATCTCAGTCACAAAAGAAAAAATATTGCATAGGGCCACTGTTGTAAAACAGAACTGACATCAGGGTTGAAGGAAGACAGAGAAGGAGGGGAGGAATGATGTATATTGCATTGAAACAGATGAGGGAGAGAACTATTTAAAAGGGATATATGATTGTGTATTATTGTCAGACAGGAGTCCCGAATGAAGGCTGCACAGTGTGGAGTGGACTTGGGAGGAGGAACTGCATAACAATGAAAGATATTTTCTTTTTCTTTTCAAGGAGAAGAATTAATTGGGGGGGAGGGAGAAAAGTGCAACAATGAATGACTGGAAACCCTAAGTCTCTAAATTTTCATTAAAATTAATTAAAAAACAGAATATCATCATGAAGAATGCAAAAGTTCACTACAAAGAAGGAAGAAGAAAAATAAGACCAAAATGGATATCAGAAGAGACTCTGAATAGTGTGCTGTAATGCTTAGAAGCCAAAGCAAAGGGGGAGAAAATCAAGACATTAAGGAGCTGAATAGAAGATTTCAAAGGGCAGCTCAGGAAGAAAAAGTAATATAAGGAAATGTGCAAGGAGCTGGAGTTGGAAAATCAAAAGGGCCATGCATGCTTGGCATTCTTAAGCTGAAGGAACTAAAGAATAAATTCAAGCCACGAGTTGCAATGTGTAAGGATGCTATAGACAAAATATTGAATGATTCAGGAAACACTAAAAGAAGATGGAAGAAGTACACAATCACTATGCGAAAAAGAATTGCCTAGCACAGAAGAATTTCAAGAAACAACATATGATTAAGAGGCAGTGGTGATGAAGGAGGAAGTTCAGGTTGCTCTAGAGGACTTGGCAAAAAAATAAAGCCCCAGGAATTGATGGCATACCAATTGACATATTGACAAACTCATGCTGCCCTGGATGTGCTTACCGTCTTGTGCCAAGAAATCCAGAGGACAACTATCTGGCCAAATGACAGAAAAAAAGAAAAAAATCCATATTTTTTTCCCATTCCAAAAAAGGTGATCCAACAGAGTTTGGAAATTATCCAACAATATCACTACTATCACACACTAGCAAAATCCTGCTAAAGATTATCCAAAAATTATTGGACCAGTACATTGACAGAGAACTACCAGAAACACAAGCTGGGTTTAGAAGAGGTCGTGGCAGTAGGGATATTTTAACTAATGTCAGATGGATCTTGGCAGAAAGCAAAGAGTACCAGAAGAATGTCTATCTGTATTTCATTTACTATGCAAAAACATTTGACAGTGTGGATCACAACAAATTGGGGCAGTCAGGAAATCAAAAGATGTATTGAACTGGGAAAATCTGCTGTCAGGGACCTCTCCAGAGAACTGAAAAATAACGACGTCAGTCTAGAGACTGAAGTGCACATAATCCAGGCCATGGTCTCTGCAATTACTTGCTATGCATCAAAGAACTGAACAATGACTAAGGATGACAGAAGAAGAATCAATGCCTTTGAATTGTGGTGCTGGAGAAGAATCTTGAACATACCATGGACCACCAAGAAAATAAATAGGTCTGTAATAGGGTGAAACCAAAACCCCCTTGGGGGCTAAGATTTTTAAGCTCTTTCTCACATACTCTGGGCACATGGCTACAAGATGGGCACATGGTCCTTGGATAAGGACATCATGCTTGGAAGGGTGGAGAGACAGCGCAGGAGAGAAAGACCCTACATGAGATGGATTGATACATAACTGGAGCAGTGGGGGTTGGTGTGTCAGAACTAGTGAGACCGGCTCAGGATAGGGCAGGCTTCAGAGCCATTGGCCGCAGCTGACTCGACAACACATAACAACAACTGCATTTTTCCTAGCCTATTATTAATACTTTGTTATTTCACCAATCGTTTCTAATTCAAAAGTGATTCAAGTAAGGTCACAAAAAAAAAAAAAGAAAAAAGAAAAAGTTAGCGTTTTGGGGCACTCGTCGTCCCTTTTCATCACTCCCATCAAAAAAGATAACTTGGGAAGGAAATTTATAGACACATAAATCATGAAAAGACTGTGAAAGGCAATACAAGACATAGCAAAAGGAAATTGCATTTATTCACCTAGAACCTAAGTTGTTGTCGTCTTGTGCTGTAGAGTCAACTCTAACTTATAGCAAATCTATGCACCATGGCTCTGAACCCTGCACTATCCTGAGGCAGTCTCACCATCTCTGATATTTCTACCCTCATTACCTCAGTTTTATGTCAATCCATCTCATGCCAGATCTTCCCTCCACCCTTCCAAGCATGATATCCTTCTCCAAGGACTGGTCCCTCCTAGCAACATGCTTAAAGTATGTGAAATGTAGTCTCAAAATCCTTCCCTCCAAGAAGCAACCTGGTTTCATCCTCTCCAGAATAAACCTGTTTGTTCTCTAGGTAGTCCATGGTATGTTTAACAGTCTTCTCCAGAACCACAACTCAAAGACATCAATTCTTCTGTCTTCCTTATCCACTGTCCAGTTCTCCTATGTGTAGCAAGTGATTGAAAAGGCCAGGGCCCTAATCAGGCACACTTTAGTATTCAGACTAACATCATTGTTCTCAGTACCTCAGAGATATCCCTGACAGCAGATTTGACCAATGCAATGTATCTCCTGATTTAATTGCTGGTACAGGGTGTTGATTATGGATCCAAGCAAGATGAAATCACTGAAAACTTGAATCCTTTTTCCATCTATCATGATGATGCCTATTGGCCCACTGGTGAGGATTTTT